ATCGTGAGCTCGCACGGACTTTTGGCGTGTTTGATATTTTGCTTGTCCCCCGTGAGGGTATCGCACTGTTGAAGCGGCGCTGCGAGCAGCTGCGACCAAAAAAGTATCAGAACCGCTCACGGCGCATGCGCAATCATGCATCAACACTGCTCGCCTGCTATTTCCCTGTTCGTTTTTATTTCTACACGTTTTTTACTCACACAGATTGTCAAGAAAGCGTGTTTGTCGTGTTCATGTCAAATAAAACTGATCACTAAACACAGATTTACTTTCTTTATTTTGTTTTCCTCCCGTTGTACGCCCGGCTTTTGTAGGAGGGAGACCCGCGATTATCGCTTTGTCGCGCATGTCTCATTGAAAATGAATGGAGGAGAGGAGAAGTTGCCTCCTGTGCCCATTAGAAGAGCATGAGCCGTCAGCGCACGCAATCAGGAAGTGCACGTGCGCTCTAAACCAGGTCTGAACCAGGACTAGACCAGTAAAGTGAAGCATGCTTTTGGCTGTTTATAATTTTCACAATGTCTGGTTTGCACAGATATGTTCCGAGTCCCAAGCCCGCACAGATGTTTTACCGGTACGTTTTACCGTGCCCGCGCCCTATTATCCGGTGCGCCTTTTGAATGTGTTAAATACCAACAAGACACCCGTAACTGAAGCTGCGCCCTATGGTCGTGAAAATACGTAATAAAATGAAGCTTAAAAACTCCCAAACCTCATTTCATGATTGCTAATCAGCTATGGCTGATTTATTGTTTGGATCACAGTGAGTTACACTAATTCTAATATATTTGTATTTCTATTATACATACATACTTTTTCATTGTTATTTTCACATGACTGTTATCAGGCTCTCTTGTTCTGATTCTTATGATAATTCCGTTTCTTCCAGTAAGTTATCTTGCACTTTCTCCATCTGTATAATGTCTCTTTACTTTTGGTGAACTGTACTGAGTCCAGAATAAAAGGTACTTGGCTGTACAAGATACAAACAAGTATTACGTTTTAGAAATATATGAAATGTATTTAGCCTGCTAATTTATCTCAAAAACTAATAACTACCATATTTTCCGGACTATAAGTCACACTTTTTTTCATAATCTGGTCGGTCCTGCAACTTTTATTCCAGAGCGATTTATACCAAATTATGTAGGCCAGGGATTTCCAAAGTGTGGGTGCGCGAGCTGCCGCTAGGGGGTGCGCGACATGAAAAGTGGCTGCGGAGCTCAGAGAAGTCTGTCATATGTCACCATTAGCGTAGAAACTCAATTGTGGGTGGGCCAAAGAAAAATTAAGTGGGCACAATAAATGTAATTGAAAACAAGTATATTTTTGCGCGCGTGTCCTCCACATGTGCCCTAGCTTCATAATAACAATGCGCCGAGCTTCAGCACTCTGGCCTGCGCACGCCGATATGTTCCGTCGCACGCGTGCGTGTCCTCCACATGTGCCCTAACTTCATAATAATAATAATGCGCCGAGCTTCAGCACTCTGGCCTGCGCACGCCGATATGTTCCGCATTTGATCATTTTTAACGGTGTTGGAGGAATCTGAAGGTGGTCATTCTGGCAGATTGTTATTAACACCTGTCTCATGCAGGTGTTCTGACATTATAAACCTCACACACAGGACATTGTGGATGTAATAAAATAACAAGAAATGATTCCCATTCAGGCTATTGACAGCGCGCTGAAGATCTGAAGTTCAGAGTGCGTCTGTCAGAGATCAGACGCGTTCCGGCTGAACCACGGCTCACGGGTGCACAAGTGCGCACATCTGGGCTGGGCAGAAGTCATTTTACAACATTGGTTTAAAAAGCGCGAGACGCGGTGACTTGAGCGTCTGTGCCGCACGCACACACACACACACACACACACACACACAGATTCAATAAGCGCACACGCTGCTTTAACTCCGGCGCGCCGTCAGACTGAAGGCAGAAATGAACACTGCCTCCACCGTGAGGAAAACTTTTAAGAGGTTATTTTTCATTCAAGGTCAAATTAAGATATTAGCCTCTGGGATGAGTCGGGTCCGCTCCAGCCAGTGACTCCTCATGAACCTGACCACATCTCATGTTACTGCAGCATTTGTTATTCCAGTCCGCATGACAGCGGATCACAGATTCAGCCACACCATAAAACAGCAATAAGTCGGTCTGAGGTAAAAGTGAACATCATGGCTTCATCTTTTCCCCTATAGACATTTGATTACGCACAAGTAGGTGATCAGTTCAGGTTTATGCAGAGCAGAAGGAAGGAGAGCGCTCTGGCCGCACAGGTTAAACGTTCCTACTTTAAGAAAACCGTTAAATTGCATTGTTTATGTGCTACCTGGGCACTCTAAATATTTATTTAAAATGAAATCAAAGGAAATTGTAATGGTATCGAATGTTTATTAATTACTATTTAAAAAATGAAAGTGATAGGGAATTTTTTTAACCCTGTCTGTTTAGCTTGACATCTGATATATATATATATATATATATATATATATATATATATATATATATATATATATAGAGCCATGCCCCGATGTGGGGGCTGGGGGGGGGGGGGGGGGGGGGGCGGGCGTCGACATGGTCGGGACATAGAAGGGGGTGCGCGGCTAAATAAGTTTGGGAACCACTGATGTAGGCTATACCGCGCTGCTGCAGGCCGGTGTCGGGACAGGATCTGCTCGGGGTCTTTCGACTGACGATGATGTCAAAGTAGTTGATTGGCTGAACATGAAGCTTATGGAAGTTACGTTATCACATTATGATTTTGATTGGTCAGAACAAATTTGCGGTCGTAGTCTTAGCGGCTGTAGTCCTGTAGTACAAAAATCAACACTTTTTGGAGAAAATATGTTTGAATTTCTAAAGGAAATGTAAAATATAAGCAAATGATAAACGTTGACCCTCAAAAGCTCTTGATGTTGATGAAATGGGGCTAAATAAAATATAAGAACTTTATTGAAAGACTCCAAGTAATATTTTGAGTCAAAGAATGTATTTAGGTAACAACTAAGGAAATATACAGACAAACTCCACATTAACACAAACAGATGTGGATTCACATAAAAGAACTGTTGTCTTTTTTGTCAGTCCGATGTTGGTTTTATGCAGTTTCACATTCTTTACAAAACAAAGATAATATGGTGTTTTATTAACAAATTACAATTATAAAGAAAACATGTAGGTGTTAACAAACAAGAATTTATTGACAAAACTGCTGATGTCTTTCCAAAATGTATGTGTGAAAGCCGAGTAGATTTGCAGTAATGTGATGTCATCAGCGGGTGCTGGACCCCGAGCCGATCCTGTACCGACACGGCTCCGGACCAGGAATGAGCTCCCCTGTCCCCGCTGGAAATAAAAAATACACAGCCATCACCTGCTGGGGCCTGTGGCACACCGTTATGCACCTGACCCAGCTCAGGAGTAAGCTCCCCTGACCCGCAGGGAACTAAAAACACACAGCCACCACCTGCTGGAGACTGGTGCACCCTACTGTGGGCCTGATCCGACCCAGGTTCCAGCCCCCCCACCACGCAGGGAACTAAAAACACTCAGCCATCACCTGCTGGAGACTGTGGCATGCAGCTGTGGGCTGAATCCGATCCAGGTTTCAGCTCCTCTGCCCCACCATCACCTGCTGCAGCCTGTGGCGCACTGCTGCGGGCCGGCTCCGACCCAGGAATGAGCTCCCCGTCATGCTGGGAAGGTTTCAAACACTGCCATCCTCTGCTGGAGACCGTGGCGCACTGCTGTGCCCGAGTTGTTTATTCTGTTATTGTTACCGGTACCTGTCTTGCAATGTGAAACACTTGGTCTCAGATTTTGTAAGAAAAATAATAAAATTTCCCCCCAAAATGCGACTTATAGTCCAGTGCGACTTATATATGTTTTTTTTCTCTTCAATATACATTCTATGGCTGATGCGACTTATACTCCGGAGCGACTTATAGTCCGGAAAATACGGTACGTTAAAAATATTGAAAACTTGCTCAAAGCAAAATATATTTTCATTAAGGAAATAACTTACAAACGTACCGATTTAATACTTTTTTATTCATAGAAAGATAGTTTTCATGAAAAAGCGCTGCAAACCTCCACACAAACTCCGTGTGAGCTTCAGGCCGCTGGTGTTCTACAGAGTTAGCTCCGGTTGTAGCTAGGTAGCTACCTCCATTAGCTTAGCTCCCACCTCCGCGTTAGCTTCAGGTTAGCTTGTAGCCAGTTCGACCGGGTGTCGTCATTTGATCCCAGCCTTACAGCCCCACCCTCAGCTCCACCTCTCTTCCCTTTTGTGGAATTGTCTGGGCTTGACGGAACCTGTGACACGGTCAAAATTGCGGTGGTGGCCACCTCCCATTTTTCCTCAAAAACGTGTTACTGGAGCCTATGGAAACCCATTGTCCATATGTATGTATGTATGTATGTATATATATATATATATATATATATATATATATATATATATATGTCGATGGCACCACCTCACCCCTGCCATGTTGACCTCAAGGGATAAACCATCAATCCTGCTCAATGATAAAATTTCCTGGCGGGGTCACCCATGAAGACAGTGTGAGGGTTAAAAAATATTAGTTTTGATGGCACGACACTGGGTTTATGTTTACATCTACCAGCCAGTAGAGGGCGCCATTGTGAGTTGCCAAACAGCGAGGCTGGCACTGTGGAAAATACCTTCTATGTTGTTGTCCTTCTCGAAAGAGGAGCAACCATTAAAAGATCTAAAACCAGAAGGAGTTTAGGTGAAGCTTACAACAGATGAAACCAAATAAAGCATTCCACGCATCGGCAGCAAACCTGGTATCCTGATGACTATGAACCTTGTTCAGTTGTTGCACCTACAACCTCCAAACACCAGACATGGTGTTCATGTTCCATTTTCCACCTTTAAAACAATCCAACCATCTCACCTTTTCAAAAGTTTTGAACTATCCATGTTTTCATTGTTTTATTTCATGGGCATGCTGCCACATTTCTGTCCCACAGCTGCAGCACTGGCTGGTTGTCTGAGATCTACAGAAAAGCTGTTTGAAAGAGTGAACGAGGAAGGATGTCAGGACGTTTGGGTGAAGGAATGCATGACCAACAAAGGATAGAAGAGATACGAAGACGGCAGTCATTTCAGCTGATCACAGGCGAAAACACTGGTGAGGAAAGTCTAAAAGTGCCAACATAAAGAAAACAAAACAAAACTTATGAACATGAATTATAGTGTTAATTTATTTTGACGACGTGAGTGTGTGTAAAACTGTGCATTGGCCCTACCTTTACCAGCCGAGATTGTCAAACAGTGCATTTTTTTTCATAAATTCTTCGTCTCATCAGCTTAAGAAGTGAACTGACACTGATGATAAACTTTCAAGTAAAGCCATTCATTATGTACTGATATCAATAACAGAGCATGCAAATGTGTTTGAGGATGTACCAAGACTGATGCAGAGTTGATAAAATTACTTATAGAGCGGTCTTTAAAATATGTATATATCACCCCTTAAACTGATGAGGTGAATAATAGTCACAGAAGTAGGGAGCGGGGCGTGAGGTGCATTATATTTTTCAGTCTCTAGACCTTTGAGAAAAAAAAACTAGATTTCTGTTTTAAATTAAAACAGTTTGTCATGACTTCCTCTCTCTTTAAGCCATTTAAGTTTTTAGTCCTCTCTTTGACTGGGATTATCCATAACTTTTCCTGTAGAAGGCACTGAGCTTTATTTTCACAGTTGACTCAATCCTAATCTGTAATTCAAGACTGTTTCAAAAACGCTGCTTTTTATCCAACTGCAATTAAATGGTGTGCGATGTAATTAACAAAGTAAATGATATATATATATATGTGTGTAGGTAAATGTAATGTAGAGGGACTTGTATTGTATTGTTATGTAAAATATTTATTTACAAATACTATTAACAAATATATAGATAGATAAATATTAGCCTTAAGGAGCTAGAAGAGAGTTATATGAAAAGTCCAGATTATCTTTGTTTTATTATTTTTGAAGCTCTTTCTGTTGAATCAGAAACTACACTAACAGGTCAGTACGGACGTGTTTTCTCCCCTTGTGGTACATGTAACACACAGATGGGTTAATTGTGTCCCAAGTTGTATGCCTGTGCTGCTGTACTGTGCCCACTGGTGTTTCTGACGATTTTTTTTGTACTGTCTCATGAAGTATAATCAATAAAACTGTTCCATTTAAAATTGTCTTCTAGTAATTAACTTTACCTTGATTATATCAATTATCTGCAATGTTATTTATTTTATATTTTATTACCTGGTAAAACCAAGTTTATTTTTAAAAGAATATTTTAGTCTGATATAATCCAAAATTCCACGTTAAGACATGTCTACAATCAAAAGAAATTGATCTGATTCTATTTTTTTGCCTTCTAAATGAGACATTGATCATGCAGTCTCCAGAGATATTTACTTTTTTATTAAATATAAGAATATCGATAATTTAGCCTTTCAAAGTGTGACCAACCATTTGAAATGTTTGTTACAATCACAAGAAACTTAAACATTGAAAATCCACAGCACCAGCAAGAGAGACAGACAACAAAATGACAGAAAACACCAATTTAAGATGACCCCTGAATGAAATGCAAAGAAATGTATCTGTTGGGTTGTGTCATGACTTGTGGAACGCGTTTAACCCAAGACATGCAGAATCAGCACGGGAGTCAGGAGGTAAGAAATTAAAGTCTTTTATTAAACAAACGGGAACTAAAGGAGCACTGAAATCCAGTGAATGATGCAGTGGGCAATTGTTCAGAGTTCTTAGCTCAGTGAGCTGCGGGACAAGCGAGGTGCCAAGGTGACGAGTGTGGCGATCCAGCCGGAACGGGAGGTGAGGAAGCAGAGAGGGGAAATGCAGGAGCGGTGGAGGAGGATGGGACATGTATGAAGATCCGTGGTTATTAGCAGAATCGGTGAAGGTTATGGTGGTAATCCTAGGAGGGCTAACAGACGGAGCTTCAGGAGCAAGCTCAAAATCGTAATCCAGACAAAAACAGTCCAAAGTCGAAATCCAAATAATCCAAACATGCGAGGTCAAACTACTACGAGCAAACAAGTGGCAGGCGTTACCAATACTGGAGTAATCATCCGGCTTCGAGTGGTGTCTCCATCCGCCTTTTAAACCCAAGCTCCTAATGATTGAGCATTAGGAGCATTCAGCACACCTGGTGACCCTCTGCTCCTCACCCGTGGGACACAGAACCTCAAAGATTGTTAATTTAGGAGGAGCACTCACCTCGGCACGAGGATCATGACAGGTTATTTTTGCAGCTCATTTTCTCAACATGAAAACAGTCTCCTACACCTCTATCCTGTATAAGGATATAAGAAAATACCGATATGGCAATATATTGCAATATTTTTCCCTGTGATATAACATCAATTTTCAAAGCCACATGTTGACATTTTTGAATAACTTTAATGCAAACATTTATTTATTTTCTTTTCTTTTGGTGCAATTCAAACACCGACTGCTAGTTGGCAGCAGTGTGCAATGGGTTTTGTTTCCACCACTGAAATGTAAATCCCTCTATTATGGTTCAGATAAGAAGAAGAAAGAAAGAAGAAGAAAATATCATTTCTATAGCGCCTCTCAAGATAAAAAATCATGAGGTGCTTCACAAAAATAAAAAAAATGTCAAAATATAAAAAAGCATCTAGAAAATGTTTAAAAATATATTTAAAATGAGCAAGATGAGACAATTGTGGTAAAAAAATGTTAAGAAAGAGAGAAAGAATAGGAAAAGGGGAAATCAGTGGTTCCTGAGGAAGGTGGAATAGGTGGGGAGAGCAGAATAAAGAGACTGTTGTGAAGAAGGTCATACAAAAGCCAGCTTGAACAAGTAAGTCTTCAGCTGCTTTTTAAAGGAGACCACTGAGTCCAATGATCTCAGGCTCAGGGGGAGAGAGTTCCAGAGTCTGGGGGCCACAGCAGCAAATGATCTGTCACCTTTGGTCTTTAGCCTGGTGCATTGCACAACCAGTAGGCTTTGATCACTGGACCTCAGGGACCTGCTGGGGGTGTGGGGACTAAGAAGATCACCAATGTAAGATGGTGCTTGTCCATGTAAGGCCCTATAGACCAGAACCAGGATCTTGAAATGAACCCTGAAGTTGACTGGCAGCCAGTGAAGCTGGAGGAGAAGCGGGGTGATGTGGGTGTGTTTGGAGGACTTGGTCAGAAGCCGAGCACAGGCATTCTGAACCACCTGTAGACAGTTCAGGGAGGTTCTGCTCAGACACGTGAAAAGAGAGTTACAGTAGTCTAAGCGTGAGGAGATGAAGGTGTGGATAACTGTCTCAAGTTCAGAGCGAGACAGAATGGGACTCAGCTTAGCAATGTTCCTGAGATGGAAAAAGGAAGAGCGAGCAAGAGAACTGACATGAGAATCCAGGGTGAGAGCTGGGTCAAAGGTCACGCCAAGATTCCTGACAGATGGTTTGGTGTGGGAAGCAAGCTGACCAAGAGAGTCTCTGACTTTGGGAACCAGCTTGTCTGGGGCACAGACGAGGATCTCAGTCTTATCTTCATTCACCTGAAGAAAGCTCCCAGCCATCCAGGTTTTGATAGAGTCTAAGCAGGTGTGTAACAGCTGAAGAGGAAGCAGATAGAGGAGGAAGAGCAGAGCCCCCAGCTCAGAACCTTGTGGGACACCATGGGTAAGAGAGGTGGTGGAGGACCTAAACTTGGAGACAGCCACATAAAAGGAGTGCTCAGAGAGATAAGAGGAGAACCACTCCAGAGCAGATCCTGATAGGCCTACCCAGTCTCTCAGCCTCTCCAGTAGCAGGTGATGGTCAACAGTGTCAAAGGCTGCAGTCAGGTCCAGCAGGACCAGAACAGAACAGTCCCCTGCATCACTGTGAGTCAGAAGGTCATTAGAGACCCTAAGAAGAGCTGTTTCAGTAGAATAAGCTCTGACTGGAAGCTATCATAGATGTTATGTTGCTATTGTGGTTCAGATACCTCATGTTAAACATGTTATGTACAAGTTTGGACTGCTTATTGAATTTTCCTACAATCATTTCAGTCTAAAAAAATGCTAATGTCGTCTGACTGAATGTATCACAATATATCGTGACATATCGTCCCCCTATATTGTGATACATATCGTATCGTCTCCCTGTATCATGATATACCGTATCGGCACCCTGTATTGTGATACGTATCGTCTCCCTGTATTGTGATCCGTATCGTATCGGCACCCTGTATTGTGATACGTATCGTATTGTCTCCCTGTATCATGATAAATCGTATCGGCACCCTGTATTGTGATACGTATCGTATCGTCTCCCTGTATCATGATATATTGTATTGGCTCCCTGTATTGTGATATGTATAGTATCGTCTCCCTGTATCGTGATACGTATAGTATCGTCTCCCTGTATCGTGATACTTATTGTATTGTCTCCCAGTATTGTGATATATTGCATCGTCTCCCTGTATTGTGATATGTATGGTGTTGTCTCCCTGTATCGTGATATACGGTATTGTCTCTGTGTATCGTGATATGTATCGTATTGCCAGAATTTCACCAATACACATCCCTACTCCTGCATTAGCCTCTGAGAAAAAATAAACTGTCTGTGAAACTCTACCATTAGAAAAGCCTGACAGATCTACGTCACATTGTCACTGAACATTCATGGACTTACCCAGGGAAGGTTGTTGCTGGTTTAGCGTCCAGGAAACAGCAGAGAACGTCTCAGCTTATAGAAGCTAACATTAGCGACTCCTTGTGGAAGTAAAACATCCATGTCACAGACCAAACTGAATAATTCGTAGAGTCGCGTGGCTCTTTTTCAGTCCAAGGCATGATGTTGTAATATCAGGAAATAACACTCCAAATCCTGCTGTCTGCTGCAGCAGACTTGTCTGTGCTGATCAGTGACGTATCTGGACATTTTCCCCCTGAGTGCGGCTTGCAAGGCATTCATTCCTACCAGAGATCACTGTAAATGTAAAATAAGTTTCTTTCCTCTTGTTTAGTTTTATCTGCACAGGGTTTGACAGCAAAAGACAACACGATCTGACTTGTGAATAAACTCTACATTGCCTTGATTTTTTTGTCCTATTTCACCCCACAAATAGCAACCTCATTCCCGTTATTATTTTTCTTTACGAGCTTCATGTACTATAGATTTTACCGGATTTAACATTGAAACTGCTAGACAAGTGGTAGCCTAACCTCTACATAAGTCATTGGTTTACATTTTTTAGTGATAGCTTCAATGAGAGGTTTTTGAATATTCACTTTAACATTGATCACTTTTATATTTGCAGTCCATTTGAATGAGCAGCAAACTGCAGATGCCGTCATATTTGCATGTAGCCACTGCTAGTCACTGTTGACGCCATGATCCCACATATGTATTAACTTCAAGAGGCACTCACAGTGCTGCTTGACTTTTTCAGGCACCCTGAACCCTTTTACACACAGTAGAAATTTTATTTTGGGAACAATATTTATTAAAGAGCTCTGAGAGGGTGATATTCATTTAAAGAAGACATTGTGACTCAGTTCTACAGTTGATACAAAACATGATCAAGGAGTTATTTGCACTAAATCTCTCTCACATAAATCGTTCTCAGCTGTTTTATTTTTGACAGTTTCATTCCCTACCAGAATGAGCCGTTTCAGGGCTCAGTCACTTTAAGGAAACAAGCTGGAGCTGGCCACTCCAGCCCATCCACCGCTCTGCTATAAGCTGAGAAGCTTTGGTATCTTGCAAGGGCTCAGAGTAGCACTGCTGCATCTTCAGCAGCAGCAGCAGCTCTCGTGAAAGTTGGTTCTATACTATTTTCCCGATTGTGACATCACAAAAAGAGACTTTTTGAAACAGCTTGTTTTAGGCACATGATCCCTAAAATCAAACCATGACAGACAAGTTCTTTTTCACATGAGTGCTTATGGAGGCAGAAACATACATGGCAGCACAAAAGGATGCAAAAGTTAAGTTTTGTATTATATGTCCTCTTTAAAATGATCTGTCAGTTATCCCTCCTCTTAACATTTTGGAGTATGTACAAAGTGAAATAAAAAAAGCGAAGGCTGCAAAAATAGTTTGTTTTGAACCATCTTCAGACCTTCTGACTACCATAGCTTGAATTCTTAATAAAAAAATAAATAAAAATAAACTCTGTGGGACTGGTTCAGCGGAAAACAGTAAAATTTTATAAATATTT